AAAAAAAAAAAAAAAAATTTAAAAAAAATAGAATGTACTACAAAAATGTATAGCCAAGCTTACATAATTCATGGGGTGCAAGCAATAGAGGAATAAAAACATGGATAAATCCTAGATGCAGTGTGGATATTAAAAAATGCCTAGTATTACTGCAGCATTTTGACCACAGCATAATATAATAGCAGCTGGTAGTTATAAGTGCTTGCTATGTTCCAGTCTTTACGTATCTATCGTTTATTTTTTTATTTTTTTGGTTTTTTTCTCCGGTACCGGGAACCGAACTCACGACCTTGCGCTTGCCAGGCAGGCGCTTTTGCTGCTGAGCTAAATCCCCAGCCCCCAGTATCTATCCTTTAAATCTACAGTCTTTATAAAGTGATATTGTCGTTCTCCTTTTATCCTTTTCTTTAAAACTTTTAAAAATCCTTATAACCTCAGACGGGAAAACTGTAGCTCACTGTGCCTAGGTACATATACCAAGGGTTCAGAGCTGCAGATGTGAAGCTAAGTGGCAGAGTCAGTATCCTAACCCAGCTCAGCCTGATCACATACAGTAGTTTGTATTTTTATCCAGTCTACAAGAACACCGTGTATCCTTATATTTCCAGGTAATTGTTAGTATATGTTGTACATGAATAAAAGGCAAATATTTGGGTTTTTCCATTGGTCTGGGATCCTACAAAATATTCATATAGCCAGTAAGATTCTAAGGCCTGGAGGTACCATACTTTTAAAACTAGCAAGAGGAAAGGAAGATGCACAAGGAAGGGCCAAAGCCAAGAGGAGTATTTGTTTTTTACTCATAAACATTTAACAAAAAGACTCCTTCGATGTTCTATTCTGGTCTCAGTAGTGAAGGGCTGCCAGAGAAAGGTCTGCTTTCAGAGAGAGAGAGAGAAGCAGCTGTACATTCTGGTGAGATGTGAACGTCAAGGGACAAGATTCTGGCCCAGTCACCCCTTCAGCATAGGGATTAACTTGTTTTACTGTTGGCACTGAAAGGGTGTGACTAAAGGCTTCAGCGGGCTTCCCAGTGTTACAGACAGAAATGGGCCTTGCTGGATACAGAGGGGTTATGTTGGAAATATGAAAAGTTGGATGAGCGCATGTAACTGCAAGTCCTTAATTCCTTCAGCAAATGCTCACTCAGAGCTCCTCTATGGCCCTGGGAACACCAGCGAACAGCCTCACCCAAGGGTGCTAGCAGATAGTGTGGCAGTGTCCTAGACGGGTCTGTGCTCTGAGCTTACAGCTAAGGAAGGGAACATTCAGAACAGCTGGGCAACAGTGTAAAGCATCACCTCCATTCAGCACATTAACCCCCTAGACCAAGCCATGTATAATGTGCCACAGAAATTAAAGAGACACGGTCCTCATCCCGTGGTACAAACGGTGTAGACAAAGAGAACGAACGGGAAGGAAGAAGAAAGCAAAGCAAGCATGCAAATGGTAGATGGTAAGAAAGCAACTCCTGGAATATCAGGGGAACCTACTTTGGAAATGGTGGTGAGCAAGGAGGACCTACCCATCTGTACAGCGTCCAGCGATTGGCAATGAAGGCTGAGGTCGGATCCAGGGTGTAGGGTTGAGTTGGGCTAAACTGTTAGGATCGTGCGGGGCCGTGGTCTTCAACCTCACCATGTGCCAAGCAGCCTGAGCCTCTGTGACTGGAGACTGAAAGGTCGCCTACTGAGATCACTGCCCCATTCCATGGCGCTACGAATGGAAGAGAGGCGGCGGCCCAGGAAGTGTGTTCTTTCGCAGCAGCCGGATGTTTCTTCTGAACATATTTGGTAGCATTACCACCCTTGCAAAGAGCAGTTCACCAGTTCTCCATTGTTTAGGATAAAGCACTTATTTCTAATGCATTCACTTTTCCCTTTATGGTACTGGGGATTGAAGGCAGGCCCAAGCCACATCCTCAGTTCTCTTTTTTAGACAGGTTCGCTAAATTGCTCAGGCTGCCCTCAAACTGGTGATCCTTCTTCCTCGGCCAATCAGAATGCTGGCCTGCTCCACCACGCCTGGTTTATAAACTCATTTTATCTCTCGGTTAGTGCAGTCATCACCCCCGAAGAGGAAACTGAGGTAGAGAGAGGGTAGGTAACCTGCTCAAGAGTATTTTTGCGCTCGGGCCGCACAGGGAACCCGATGCGGACAACACCGCCGCTGCGGCGTCTCTCTTTTGCTGGGCTCAGGGCTGCAGGCCTTCCTTCCTTTTTTTTTCTGTCTTTTTAAGACAGGGTCTCAGTACGTAGTTCAGGATGGCCTTGAACTCACTTTGTAGCCCAGGCTGGCCTCGAACTCACAATAATCCTCTGGCCTTAGCCTCCCGGGTGCTGGGACTGCAGGCGTGAGCCACCAAACCCGGAGTTCCTGTCAAGGCACGCAGCGTCTGCAGAGCGCAGCCCCCGCCTCTAAGTTTGTAGGGCCCGACCGCCAACCCGGCGCTTCCGGCGCGCGCAGTGGGGCACTTGCGTCAGCGCTGCACGAGACGGGGCGGAGCTCCTGCCCCGCCCAGCTGCCCGCACGACTAGCGCCGCGGCCTCAAGACCCGCCCCTTGGCCCGCCCACAACCTCACGTGACTAGCGCGGGCGTTTCAAAACCGGCTCTCGCCCCGCCCATCCATCTGCGCCACCGGAGCGCCAGCCTTGCGACACGGCTCTCTCCCCGCCCGCCCACCACACGTGACCTCCACGGAGGTCTCCAGGCCGGAAGCGCTCAGGCCCGCGCCCGCTCTCGCGTCCGCAGTTGTCCCCCGGGATCCTGGAGCTCTGCGCGTGTCCGCGCCCACGCTCGTCCCCGCGGCCCGGGCGGGAGCTAGGCGGCAGCCACGCGCGGGTTGCCAGCCGTC